GAAGAACAACAGATGCTCTTCAATATTGATTTCTCTAGTGCAAGTCAAAGTTCACAAGTATCATTGATTGATAAAAAGTATTTCTAGTGAATGAAAACTTTGTTTCACGAAAAATTATTATGATAGAAAAATCTTCTCATTTGAATGATATGCTATTACATAATAATTATGTCGTGAACTGTAATCATCAAATATAAATATTCACAGAAATGTTTGTACGTTATCAAGTATAACTTATATATCATTTTAATCTTTTATTTTTTTAAAAATATTTTTTCTGTGTCAAACAAATAAAGAGTTTAAATTGAACAAAAAAGAACGAGATATTTTAAACAAGTTGCCAAAGTGCAGGAACATCAACTGGTGTCCAAGTAGATAATGATGTATGTGCTTGAATACATCGATAGGTTTTACCTCCATATGTTACTCGATCACCTACACTATAATATTTATTAGTTTGCCATTGAAGAGCATCTCCACTAGGTGCTTTCGTTGTTGATAGAGAAGCAGTAGAACTAGGTGGATTTGTTCGAGCAGTAGTAGGAGTAGGCGCAGTAGGCGGATTTGTTCCTGGTGGTGGCGTTTGGCCATTGGTTAATGCTAAGAATGTAGCACCAACTAGTTCTGCAGTACGATCACCACTTAATTCCCAGAACATTGCACCACCCAATTGTTCTCGTTTTATGTAATCATTTTTGAGTGAAATCGATTGAAGATCATCATAACTTATCCAGATACCTGTTGATGGATTGAAAAGAAATGGTACTTTAGATGCATCATCCCAATAACGTGTATATGTAGGTAAAAAACTTCTTTTCAAATGATCATAATCAAATATTCCATTTTCCCATGTACCCATCGGAAGTTGACTTGAAGCAGGTTGCGAAAATCCATTTTGAGCCGCACTAGTAACTCCTATATAGAAAAATAAAATCTATTTAACCCAATTAATAAATAAGAATTAAAGTTTACCTTGCCAACCACGTCCATATAAGCCTAAACCCATAATTAATTTCGAGCGAGGAACACCAGCAGCAATATAAGCTTGAATGGATGCATGACAATTGTATCTTGATTTGATGAATGATGGAGAAATATCAGTGGCTGTTTCTGCATCGTTTTTATACAATGGAGCATTATGACCCGTTTTTGTTTCCCAACCACCTGTCATTTAGTAACACAAAAATACATATGTTAACATACAATAAGAAAAAAAAAATCGCATTTACCGTGAAAATCATAGGTCATGACATTAATCCAATCAAGATAGGTAGACATACCAGTTAAATCCATATCAGCAATTCGTTCAGTACCTGCGCCTGTTCTATATAGAAGAAAAACGGAATAAAATAAAATATTTTTATCATATTGAAATTTATTAACTTACGCCACAGTCAACAGATATGTTTTGCCATCGAGAATACCGGCAGTGTTTAGTTGTTTGCGAACTTCTTGAAGTAATGATACATAATTTTGTTTATCTTCTGGTCGGACAATATTTCCAGGAAGTCCACCAGAGACAGGATATTCCCTTTAAAAGTAAAACATCATATTTCATCGAAAAACAAAATACACACATTTACCAATCAAGATCAACTCCATCAAAACCATATTTTTGAATAAATTCAACACAAGATTGAGCAAATTTAGAACGACTTGCTGGCGTTAGAGCGATATCAGAAAATCGACCAGACCATGTCTATATAAGAATTTTGTTGTAATAATAAAAGGAAAGAAATAAAATTTACCCATCCACCAACAGAAATTAATGTTCGAAGATGAGGATATTTTTGTTTGAGTTTAAGTAATTGATTAAAATTTCCACGTAATGGCTGATCCCATGTATCACCTGAAAAAGCTTTTTCTACATCGGCCCATGAATCACCCAATACCAATCGTCCATCTGAGTCAATATTGGCAAATGCATAATTAATGTGAGTGATTTTATCTCCTGGAATATCGGCAACAAAATATGATCGAGAATAAATAGACCATGCAGCAAAATATGCCACAATAATAGGCGCGACAACCATATCTGTTTTACTTGCTTCGTCTGATTGTGTCTATTTTGGACAATAGTTAACCTTCAACTTAAATACAGAGGTAGAGAAATACATATTTCAGTCAATTAGTCGAGTACTAATACTGTTATCATCGTGAGAATAAAACAACACATGTGTCATGTGACAAGAACGAAAAACAATTCAATCGTAATCATGGTTTTTCATTCTAAAAAAAATTAATTTTGGTTTGCAGTGCCCTTTAGAATTACAGAAAAGACATTCTTTTTGAATACATTCTTTTTCATGTCATTCTTAATTACGATGCGAAATTCGTGTCAATGATAACATGTACATAAAAATAAGGAATACAATGTCTAAAACATAGATAGTAAATGTATGCTATGGGAAGCCATATCGAATGAAACCGTATAATGGTGTTTTTTTTTCTCACGCAAATAACATTTGATAAGGAAAAGTAATGCAGCCCTTTTTTAATATCCTGTGTTAATAGTTTTGCTATAACTTAAAATACGAATAGGTTAGCAAAAAATACATTTGAAGATTTAATCTTTTTGTTAATACGAATTTTAACTATAATGCTCATTGAAAGTTGTTGTTTTAATTGAATAAATTATATGAATAAAAAGAAAAATCGATACACTATAAACGTAAACCAAAAAATATTAACTACATGACATGCCATGAGCAAAGCATACCACAACTGGTTTCGATCATGCTGAAGAAATTCAACTAATCTAATTTGTAGTTAAGAATATATATTAGAATGACAGTGTATATTGATGATTTTAACTAAGGTTTTTAGGTTTCGCTTTATTTCCTCTTTGAATACAAAACTTCGAAGACAGTCTTCATTGAGTGCTTTTCATCACTTGATACGGTTCCCAAATCAGTTAATTTCGAGAACACTTAACCTGCAAAGTTATTAAAATCACACCAGAACAAAGCATCATAAACGTAGCCGATACGAACGATTCTCTATCTATTGGATCTTGTCAAGACGGGTTTCTACCGATTTTAGTTGTCTAAAAATCTTGAATATAAAAAAAAAAACATTAGTAATCTCTGATATCATAATGTAAATATCTGAACATACTCGATGGAACTGTATCGATGAAGAATTGAAAATACTGTCGTTGGATCGAGTTCATAACAAAATTTATAGGGCACACCAAAAGTAGTATCGGAAGTACTTTAATTCTTTGTAAAAAGCTTAAAGAAATTTTCTCTTTATATGATCTGATAATGAAAACAATACTTTACATTTCTGTGATATTTGATCATTCTTCAACTAATATCATAATAATAAAATTTCGATTAGAGCTATTACTTATGAAATGTGACGATTGTTAAGTTTATTGTTGAGTGAAAATCCTCTCGGAGATTTAGACGTTAAATCATTCACTTTTGCACTCATAAACAATACAATATTAGTTAAATTAAAATTTGAATCAGCCGATATGATTCTCACCAGTGTATAGGAAATAGTAAACATGATATGCATGAATAATAATTTACACTGTTTGGCTTTGAGTCGAAATCCGATTGATCATGATGATGCCATTGATTTAGTAGTTGATGCGTTTGATCATAATAGTTTTCTTGAGGGTATAAATGTGGATGAACTGAATATTTGTATACACACCTTCACCCACTCATATACATACTTTCACGCCCAAAAGATGTTTTTGTTTGTTGATGAAATCGTAAACACTGATTTAGACATCATTTATCAGCTTGATTGATATTCAAAAAAGTTTAATTAGAATCCATTAAGGTGACAATTCAATACGGCATATGGTATGATAATCATATTCTATCGAAAAGAAAATCGATATTATCTTTCACGACTGTTTGTGTTATAAGAAATCGATCGCACTTCCGCAGAGGAATACTCTTTTGTGTCTTGTGAGGTGAAAGTCAATGTCAATCTTCGTTGGTGTTCAGCTAATTTTTATATGCTAAGGATTATTCTATTTAGAACGAGTGAATTTGACAAGCACACAACCCTTTTTATTGAGCGAATAAAAACTAGTTAAGTCATTACTCTGACGCTTATTTTCATTGAACAACAATTATTGTATAACAACAGTAATTATAATAAATTTTGTAGTTTTATTTAGTTTTCGTATAGTAGGAATTTTCGACCTTTGTACGATCATCGTCAGCTATATCGGATATCATTTGAGACCTTAAGTTTCAGTTTATTTCAAAGACAAATAATAACAGCTAGAAATATAAAAAAGAGAGTGAAATACAACATAAATTAATACATAACCATAAATCTGTGTAACAAATATATTGATGAACATAAACTTGTCTTTGAAATAAATTGAAATTTAAGATCTCAAATGATGTCTTATATAGCTGACGATGATCTTACAAAGGTCGAAAATTCCTATTATACGAAAATTAAATTAAGCTGAAAAATTTATTATAAATACTGCTGTCATAAGTTACAACAATTGTGTATTTTCGTCAAATCCTACAAACAGAACACGCTCGCCCATATTCTAGAACAATTTAGCATCACTCAAAAACTGAAGTCATTTATAGACTGATCAGCTATAATTAAGAGTCTTTTTGATATGTGTACCTGAAAAAGAATATTTTTATTTCAAGAAAGATGATTCATTATGCTACAAAGAGGAATCAGTCATGTTGAATTACATGTCTATCACTTACCAGAATTAAACTCAAGAAAACTGACACATATTCATAGAGGGTTTTCAAATTGTAGAAATTTAGATTTCTTCCAAAGAATTTGATATTCAACTATCTTGCGTTAATTTTCAAGATTATGAGTTCATTTTACAAACATCTTACAGTCTTTTTTTTTATTTGTGATATTTCGTTTATCTACCCTTTGCGTCAACTTGATGTCATCATTTTACTTATCTTCTTATCAGTAATAAATAAAAAGCTGAGAAGTTGCGTGTTGCTCTATGCAGAATATACCAAGAGCTAAAAGGAATAGATATGGACGGCACAAAAAATAGCAACTTCACAAATGAAACTACTTCATCTCCGCCATATAACATGCCTCCACCAAGCTATGGATTTTCGAATCCGATGGTACTTGGGGTGTCCAACCAACCAGGACAAGTTCCCATAAGCTCTATGGGTAATCAATGGGCTGGAAATCCAAATGTTGTATACGTACAGCCACCATCCATAGCTGCTGTTGGGATCTGCGGACTGCATCCCGAGACAGCTCATATTAATGACTACATGGCTTGGTCAATTTTCAACATGTTATGTTGTGGTCTTTTGTTAGGTATCATAGGATGTGTGCTGTCGTCACAAGTGCAACAACGCAAGGTGGCAGGTGACGTAGAAGGCGCCAAAAGCTTATCAACGGGTACTGCAATGTGGAATGCATTTACCACTCTTGCTGGCATTGGTATTATTGTTGGGATTTGCATCTACCTCAGTCATTATGGCTACTTTTAATCGTTACCTATATTCTACATCTGTATCAAAAAAACAGGACATATTCATTTTATTTATGCATTTAATAATGTGATCATTACTTGAAAACTTTATTCAAATTTATAAATCTATTTTATACGTGTTGCTTTTCTTTTTGTAAACTTAATAAAAAGTCACCTGAATATTTTATTAATATATTTCTATCTTTTCAATAAGGTTCCACGCTAATTTTACACAGAAAATTACATATAAAGATTGCAGAAAAAAAATTGATTTTCGATTGCGATATTTTAAAGTAAAGATCTCGTCGAACTATATTCCAATTTAAGCGGTTGCAGTCTGTAACCATTCATCAATATTTCTATACCGTAATTTTTAATCTAAACATCATTAACCTTAAATAGTCAATCTCACTGCCATGTTCTTTACGACAATGACCAACGCACAATGGTCAAGGGAAATATTATATGAGCAATATTGTAATAATACCAAAATACTTGTTTTTACCGTATTTTGAACTGATCAGAGAACATTGCCAACTATCCGAACGCTTTTCGCTCGAGACTATTTCCATTTTATCAGTACTGGCGAGTAGTAAAAAAGTCTGCTTCGGCTTGATTTTCCGATCTTCACTTGTCAATTTATGGATATTTTACTCGATTTTTGCCCTATAAACATAGAATGACGGAGAATTTGGATGAGTGAGCTTCGAGCTAAAATATTGCACATAAATAGATCATATAATGTTTAGAAATATCCCAAAAGTTGAGCCACAGTGAACATGTCCTTTTATAGATATTTACATTTTATAGAAACGCCTGTTTTGGACTGTTCTTCAAACGAAGAACGTTTCTAAAGCAAACTGATATCTCGATACAGATATGCTTGTCCTACACTGTAAAAAAAAAAGGTACTTTCTGGAACCTCAAAAAAAGGTTCGGTAGATGACAAAAAGTTTGCAAATGTGTTGAATGTTTCAAAAAACGAATAAAAAAAACCCGGAACCTTTAAAGGATCTTACCGTGTATCCAAGTGAAGATCCTTTTTTTTTCGAAACCTTTTTAAGTTCCGTACACCAAAAAACAGGTTTTGTAGGAAAGTACGAAACCATTAAAGTTTCGCATCTAGTATAATAGCTTTATAGGAAACCCAGTACGAAATCTCGAGGTTCAATACGAAACCCTAAAGATTTCGTACTTTCCTACAAAACCTTTTTTTTTGATGTACGCAACTTAAAAAGGTTTCGAAGAAAAAAGGATCTTCACTTGAGTACACGGTAAGATCCTTTAAAGGTTTCGGGTTTTTTTTTATTCGTTTTTTGAAACTTTCAACACATTTGCAAACTTTTTGTCATCTACCGAACCTTTTTTTGAGGTTCCAGAAAGTACCGTTTTTTTTTTACAGTGTAGATCAAACTTTAAAGTGTTTCTAGAGACTATAAGACCTATCTATGGACAATATTTCAGCTCGAAATTCGATCATGTATGTTCTTAGCGATGCTATGCTTATAGGACAAAAATCGAGTAAAATGCTCATAACTCAATAAGCGAAGACAGAAAAACTAAAAAAAAAATAGACTACTTTTTACTAGTCATGATTACTAATTGGATGGAGTAGTCTCAAGCCAAAAGCGTTTGAACAGTTGGTAATATTTCCTCGTAACTGCAATGTCTTTTGCTCACAACAATCAGAATAGCAAAGCCGAGCGTACTGAAGGAAAAAAAGAGTTAGGAGCTACATGAAAATTAAGCAGGAAATGAGCTACTTGGACTCAAATATAAGTGTCGTCTATCGGTTTTTTCACATATGTAAATGAAGAGAATATCAACATTGATTGCAAAAATGCCAGCTTTTCCAAAACATTCATCAAACTACTATTGAAAAATTAAATGTGGCATTTAAAAAAAGCAGTAAAATAAAAGTGGAAAAGCCGATTTAGCTGGTAATGACTGGTTGAAAGACGCATCCTTCGATCTAGTTACTGATACATGTATTAGAATGAGGATGAGTATGGATCAGTCGACTCACAGCTAAAAATATGTTACATAAATTTTCTTTGCACAATCAAAAAGATTTTATTTAGAATGCATTCTCATAGACATTACGAGCATGATAATGCGTTTTCGTTGAATTATTTTAATGATAAGAGTAAAATTAGTTTGTGTTCTGTCGCTGAAGTCACTTGAAAACTACTAAAAAACACATGACATCTTCATGTTTACTATGTGTAGTTTGATTCGAGACATGCTTCAAACATACACAGCAAGTAAGGAAAAAAGATAATAGGAGGCTTTGTATTCAAGAAATTGAATAAACGATGTATTACTTCCGAAAACATTCTTGCTTGATACTAGGCAAACTGTAAGATTCGCAGAACTCGCTGTCTAAGGTTGATATTAGAAATTGGAATGATCAATTTAATTGCAGTTCATTGAAACTACATGCCATGGCAAAGCAAAACTGCTCTACAGATTCCCAATAATCGGCACAATTCAGTACAACTTCAATTATTAGTTCTCAACAAAATTAGTTTGAAATTTCAAGGTGAAAAATCAATAGTTTAGAGCGAAATTTTACTTCTACTATCTGACTAACTTTTCACGAGCATGATAAATTCATTCAGCATGATCCAATGCCCTCAGCGTACGATAGGAAAGTGTTAGTTCAATATTTAGAGCTGGGATTTTGACGACGATGAAATTTGTCAGTTGGAGATTTCAAGACTCTTATCTCTTGACCATTAGAACCATGAGGATTGTAAAAAACGAGCTAAAATAGGTCCGTTTTGTACCCTAAAAATCAGTAAAAAAACACGATATAAAAGCGCTGAAAACCGACCAATTTTAAAAGCTCAACCGGACCCGGCCGGTCATTCACAAGTCGACCAATTCAGTACCGGTTTGCCGGTTCTGTGCCAAATATAAGTTGGCTAAACAAATCTTGATCGCTGATATGTGAGAATATCGACAAGAATTTATTGATGTGTGCCGTGCCCATACATCTAAAGAAGCCACGTTTGAAAGTACGGATTTGATGTAGATGTCTATTACTAGAAGATGTACACTCATGCTCCGCACTAGATGCTAGTTCAAAAAAGTAGGTGAGGAAAAAATTTTGGCCGGAGATATACAAAAACAAAGCAATGATTGACAGATGTCACTATATTTCGAAAGGCTTCGTTTTACTTTGCCGTGTTATATAATTGCTTCATATCGGTAGCCAAACAAGAAACCTCCATAATGATAGACAGACATTTACTGCTGATGCGAATATTTAAAATAGACGAGAAGATAGCCAAAATCGTCTTGAGCCTCAATACATTGATCAGCTACGATCATATTCTACTAAAGGACATCAAATTTCTTCAGAAACTGAGCAATCTTGTAGTTCTCAAAATTTATCTGTTTCGGCTGCTAAAGATAGCGCCTGATAAACATTCTGTGCCATTGATTCTTATTGACGTCATTAATCAAGTCGGTTTTGAAATGAAGGTAAAGCACGTACAGCGATAAAAACAAACAACTTAATACCTCTTTTTTTTCATTGCATTATTATTCTTTCTAGAGTTGATCGAAGTCATAAAACCAATTAGTTAGCGTATTGCTGAATTGCGAAAGGTAGCTCGCATTGTTAATATTCAAATCATATTTGTCAATGATAATTTTCATAAATGGTAATCAGATTTTTGTTTTGTTGTCGAAAATGTTCTTCAAGAAGACAAACCCGACAAGTAGTATTATCTTCTTTTTATTTTCACTATCACTTGACAAGATTTGTCTTGTTTTACAGGTAAAATACTGGCTGAGTTATTGAGTCCAGATGATACTGACTGTATGTTATCACTCATGCTCAATATATTTCTACGAACATTCAAATATTTTAGATTTTGTTCTGAAACCTATACGTTCCGGCTTTTATTGCATACCACTTGAAATTCTTCTTGATTACTTACATGCAAGAGCTCTGATTTTGACCAGTTTTGCCAGAAATATCTGTGTTATGTTCACTGCAAATGATGCTTACATGAGAAACTACAAATTGATTGTTCCAAGAGATTGCATTGTCTCTAATATACACCAGCGGTATAGTTTATGCTAATCATGATTATATACGACAATCAATGTATATTCTTGGAAAACGAAGCATCTCTTGAACAAATAAGTAAACTACTTAAAATGAACATAAGATCGCCTGCCGATATTATCAAAGATATTAGAAATAATGTACAGCACTAATGAAGCAGTTCTGAACGTTTGATTGGTAAATTAAGAAGCAAACAATAAATGATAAATTCAATATATTTTATGTCATATTACGTTTAATCTCTCATAATGATACTTCAATATATCCAGTCGAGCGCATCATACACTTTATCTTTTTATATTTTCTTATATTTTGATAATAATATTCTAGGAAGCTTTTGCTTATTTTAAATAGAATAACTTTTCATTTCGTTTTTCCTCTGGTCTACCTTAGATAAATCATGGATGATAAAAAAAAATGTTTGAACGAAGTCAAATGAGGAGAGTAATTGTATAATTTTTTTTTCAGCGCTATAGAGAAAATAACATCGCATTGCTCTAAAAGAAATTGTGGCCTAAACCACTTGATACTTTTTTGGTTCTTTTTATCATAGTCCATCAATCGACGAAAATATCAAACATATCTCTCGAAGCGTTCTATAACAACGCCTCTCATGTAAAGATGTCAAAATAGGTCGTTCTCATTTATTATGCGCCCTTCTGTGACGCTAACCGCGGGTCGTGTATATCTATAAATAACATATAATAGCACACTGTTAAGGCTTTTTTCCTTCGGATTCTTATTACAATATAATCTAAACGTTGGAAATTAGTTCTAAATTCTATTCAAGAATTAGTCTAGATTATGCTTTAAATAAATCAGTCGATACCGATTATAATGCACTTGTACCGATTTCTATTTTAGAATTGTTCGAAATTAGAACTGAGTTCTTATTCGAAATCATTATTTAACGTACTTGAAAGAAGGATGCCACTTTATTTTTAGTTACCTTGAAAAAGTCAACAAATTGTTGTGTTAACTTTACTTGTAGGATTTTTCTACGTATCTGTCAGCTAGTATTACCGATAGAAAAACTAAATGAGTACCATGTTCGATTTTGAAATAGATAATATATTTATTTTTATTAAGACGTAAATGTTTTTTTGAAGTTGCATGACACTGGAAGGCAGGGAAAATTTTACTTTAAAATGAATTTGTTTTTCTTGTTTATACAATCAAAAAATGATATCAGATCTGTTGGTTGTTAAGAGAGAGTCCGCGAGACCACCAAACAAGTCGGCTGCCGACCAAATTTTGATCTTCGATTTAGGTATCTCAAATGAAAGGTCTAGTCAAACCATAGACAAATCCAAAATAATAACTCTTTCTGACTTCCCTATGAAAAATGGCATAGTATACAAGTGATACACCCTCCNTTTTCTTTTTTTTTTTTTGTTTTTTAAAGAGGTATTGCTCTAATGAACCCATTAAAAAGTGATTCAACTTAGGAATATTTAAATTTTTTTTTTTTTGAAACGTCCTTCGCTCTTTATCTTCAAATTAAATAATAAAAAACAGAGATATAATGAATTTTGCAAAATTTTTAGCAGTTTAATAGAGATTCAAATTTTGTATGTTACGATTTTTCATCACGAACCAAATAGTCAAATGATTAATATTTGATTTTTTCTACGGATGTCTTCCTCTAACCAAACCATTAAAACATGATTCCAATTATAAATATTTTAATTTTTTTTCAATCACCTTTTTTTTTCGCTAGCCATGATCGAATTATATCAGTAAAAAAGATAGATATGATGAATTTTGCAATATTCTGAGGTATCCAATAGAGATTCAAATTATGAATATTAATTCCTTTTTATTTAAATTTTCTTTAGGAACCGATCATGAAATTTAATCACTTAGAATGAAAAGCAAAATGATAAATATTTGAATTGTTTCATGGAAATGCAATAGAGATTGAAAATTTGAATATTTCTATTTTTCGTCAGGAAGCAAATAGTGAAATGATTAATATTTGATTTTCTTTCACAGATCTCTTGCTCTATTAAAACTATTTGAAAGTGATTTAAGTTATAAATATTTGAATTTTTGTATTTTAACCGTGCTCCGCATTCCATAATCAAATTATATCAGTAAAAAATATAGATATGATGAATTTTACAATATTTTTAGGAGTCCAATAAAAATTGAAACTATGAATATTAATTCCTTTTTATTTAAATTTTCTTTAGGAACTCGATGATGAAATTTAATGATTAAGAATGAAGAGTAAAATCATAAATATTTGAATTGTCTTTTGGAAATGCAATGTAGATTCAAATTTTGAATATTTGTATTTTTCATCAGAAGTCAAATAGTGAAATGATCAATATTTGATTTTTTTCACTGAGCTCTTGCTCTAATAAAATGATTAAAAAGTGATTCGAATTATGAATATTTGAATTTTGTTTTCCAAGCAGCTTTTTCACCGTCTTATGCTCGAGTTATATCAGTGAAAAATATAGATGTCATGAATTTTGAAATTTTTTAGGAATCCAATAGAGATGGTCTCACGAATTGTCAATGTGTTGCTTTGCTTAATCGTATTTCCTGAACAATTTTTATGAAGTCATTTTATTAGTTAAGCACTGCATCATCACATTCCTGTTATGAGAATAAGAAAGATGAAATCAACAAGACAACTAATACATTATTGATTATGAAGTATTCAGTGATTAGCTTATGCTCTTCCTTGATCATGTTCCACTTTTGTTTTTGAAACACAATGAATATCGTTCTTGGTTGTATCTGTTCAGATCAAAAGATAGAATTTTGTTCAGACTGCTAATCAAGGTTTTATTTATGATCATTAGAAGTTATTTTGTTTATCCATAAAACTACGTTGGAAAACATAAAAGCACGCCTAACGGTTTATGATGTCTGCATTAACAATCTATGCTCACAATATTCATCGTCTGTTGTGATTATTGCAAAAAACAATAAAGAAAAAAAAAACAAAACGAAAGCTTAGTGATAATGGTAAAGAGCACAAACATAAACAGAAATGGATGAGAAAGACGCACGTACGTACAGAAATCAGTTGCGTTGTTCATTAACCAAAATCACAACAATAAAGATAAATAAGCCCGAGCACTAATAATAGTAATAATAATAATAGTAATGATTGAAGAAAGATGTTTCTTTGTTTTCAAAACAAAAATATCTTACACAAAACAAGAAAGAATTAGGAAAATGCGAAAACGAATAATTTATAGTGAAAATAAAAGACAGAGACTCTAATCATTAATAGTTATTGTACCCGATCGTTTGACTTTCTTATTGGCTGATGCTAATGGATGATAAATTGGTGATGTTAATGGACGTTTCTCACTATTAGTATTAGTCGAAGGAAGAATATCTGTTGCAATGGAAGACAACGATGAAGACGATGAGGAAGAAGAAGAAACCGATAATGAAGGTACAAGTAGTAAAGGTGGAGGTGGAGCAGGAGATGCAAATTCATGATGAATACCATTAGTGGTAGCTGTGGCTCGTGATCGTAATGTCATTCCATATCTTTTTGGTGTTATAGTTGTCGTTGTCAATGGATATTGATCTATTAATTGTGAAAGTCTTTCTTCACTAAAGTCAAATGAAGACAAAGATAAAATATCATTCGTTGGTGGACATGGAGCATGACGACAACGACAAACTCCATTGCCACATAAACGACGAGTATGTGGCAACGTAGATGAAGAAATATAATTAGTAGGTACAACAGCTGTAGTCGATGTCGTTGTCGAACTTGATGTCGATGAACATGAATCAGTCGATTTTTTTGCATAACGACGTTGTGCTAGAAGTCCATCAGTGACAGAAGATAATTGAAATTGACCGGCTTTTTGAAAAGCACGCATTGTCACATTAACAGCACGAACCTTAATATAAAAATGAAATAGTATTTATTTAAAAGTTTTTCTTTTTTTCGAAATTTCATACAATGAGCGATCGAGATGCTTGACAAAGTATACTAGGTGTCATCAAATGTTCATTCGATATTGGAATACTTGAACCTCGAAGCCAAGCATTTCTTGACAAATCTTTAATTGTTAAACGTTTGGATGGATCGACTGTCAATAAACCTGATCAATAAAAAAAAAATAATAAGATAAATATATTTTCAATTAAACTATGATCATTAACGGAGTAATAATAAAAATGTACCTTTAACAAGATCTTTCGCTCCTTGTGAAACATTTTTCCATGCTGGTGTATCATATGATAATTGGGAGCGTGATATATCTTCAACAATATCTTCAGCTGTTCGATGAGCTGTTATTGAATTAAATGGAACTTCACCACTTAACATTGTATATAAAATAACACCCAATGACCATAAATCACATGATTCATCATAACCATACGCAATTGCATTTGTATTTATCGTTATGGAAGGTACAAAAGCTACAGTTGTACTTGTTGATGATGATGGTGATGATGAGACTGAGGATTTAGAAAGAGAAGATGATTGAGAATAATTAAATGATGTTGCAGTACGAAGTACTTCTGGTGCTGTGTATCTGTATAAAACAATTTTAAAACATCATTCAAACAAATTTTATATTATCTTACAACAGTGTACCACAGGGTGTTGTCATTGTTTGATGTTTCATACGTTTTTTAGCAAAACCAAAATCTATAATTTTTATTTCTGCATCGGGAGCAGATGATGAGAAAAGTAAATTCTAATAAACATAAATATCTATTTAATAAAAACCAAGCTAAATTCAAATTGTCATACTTCTGGTTTAAGATCTCGATGACATAAATCGTTACTATGCATAAAATTGACAGCTGATACAAGTTTTTTCATTAACTGACTGGCTTCTTTTTCAGAAAATGATGTATGTGTACGAATTCGATAGAAAAGTTCACCACCCGTTAATAATTCCATTATAATATATGTATGCAACTTGATAAAAAAAAAAGGATAATAATACTGTACATTTATATGAGAGTTACTTTCAAGACAGTTAGTTACAATATCTGCTTATATCATTATTTAGAAATTAACATGTATTTGAATCAAAGCTAAAGATTTGTGATCTTTTTGATAAACATACAACAAAACCCATAACATTGAAGCACATCAGTTGATTTATTTTATATATAATTTTATAAAAGAGATAGTTTCTCAAAATGTGTTCAATGATATGTATGTAACTACTTAGAGCAGCAATTTACTTACACACTACAATAAAACTTTCCTATAGTAGTGAACACCCTTCGAGCTTTTCGAAGGGTGTTCACTATAGGGAGGTAAAGTCTTTTTCGAAAATAAAGTTTTTCAAAGAAATACACACATTTTCTGCCAATCTAGAAAGTGTTAGCGAATAAAATAACCAACTGAAGCAAATTGTTACTTCACTTGTCATGTATCTTTATTGGTAAAAATCAACAATTTTTCAAGTAATCTTTGACAGACCTCTGTTTCACAACTTTCGAACCCAGATAAATGTCAGCTGATTGCAATTCAAGATGGAAAATGAGAGTGTACGACTGATGCTATAGATTGAACATAAAAAGATGAAGCTTTCTCATCTTTTTAAATACTTCAAACAAAATTAGCATATTTTCCACTACAAACAGTTCGTCCTTGTTCTTCGATATCTATCTGAACTTGATCCCTCAGATGTTCTTTAGTGTTACTCTAGTTGAAAGCAGAAGCAAAAAAAATTGATGTCGGCGAAACTAGCAGCCATTAATTGCTAGTCATCAAATTAAACTATTCTCTTCAAACTTTTAAGTAGTGTCCATTAGGGGGAGATTCGATTCCAATATGAGATAGTAAGTTCCTCATTCTCGGAAATTTAATTCGATGCTTTGAAACATAACTACAGGTAATTGATATTAATAATTAAAAGAATAGTAGTAATGTGTATAGTTTTCGATTGGGATGAAGAAGCTCATTTCCCTCTCATATGCTTTTCTAGTGAAAGTAAACATCTTGACGTAATCTAAACTAATGTCAAACTATGAATCACATTCTTTCAGTTGGATGCGTAAAAATGAGTTTTACTTATGCATTATCGATATTTAATCTAGACGCGTGCAGCAATATTGCTTAGCTTGTATTATCCATTATATAGAGTAATACAAAAGTCATCAGACAGTTTTATCTGGTGAATAAGTTTAGATAAGAATAAGATAGAGAACTGAAGCTTTCATTGTTGAAAAGAAGTTATGTCACTGCATGATTCAACAAAGTTGGTTGATAACCGAATCATCAGATGTATTAGATCCGCGTACCTCACTATCCACACCAACATTCTCGTCATCTACTGTTGCGCCTATCATTCTTACTCAGATCACGATAAAAAAAAACTCGAATTTGGGTACGGATATGAATCGTTAGTACGTGGATCTCGTATATTTCTTAAAGTTAAACTATTGTGTCATCATCGTAGAACTATCAGTTTTTTTCTGAACGCAACTGACTGACAATTCAGTCATCAACGGACATTGTTGAATCATACATGGAACTATGTAATGATATAACATCTTTCAAATGGTGAAAGTCGAAGGTCTTTATTTTTCCCCTATCAAAAGTTATTCGCAAGCAAAAACTTGAATTTTGTAGCAACTCGAATTTATCACACCTTCAACTCAAGCGAAAATCACTTCACGCATCCGTAAAAAAAAGTGTTCTCTACGAAACGATTAATTAATAGTATTTTCACTATCTAATTATCGAGATTATATTTCTATTCAATATTTTTGAAGAAATATTATTTGAATAAAACTAACCTCATCAGAATAAACTTCGTGCAATTTAACAATATTTGCATGACCTTGGCATAAACTTAAAAGTTCAATTTCATTTTTTGCATCAACTTTTTGTCGATGTGAAACTATTTTTACGGCAAATTCTTCTTGTGTTCGACGATTTCGACAACGTCTAAAATTTTCAAATTGAATAAAAACAAGCATTTGAACAGTGTTGATTTAACTAACCGACAGATTGAATAACTGCCTTCACCAAGAAAACCTTCACGATCGATAAGTTCATAATTTCGAAAAAATGAACTTGTCTAAAGTATTAAAAAAAATGTAAAGATAAATGACACTGATTGAATAGACATCAAAGAAACAAACTTTAATCAATCGATGTAGTTGTGATGGATCAGGTCGTTGATAATTTGTAAGACGAAGGAGATTATATAAATCTTCATTTACTGCATTCTCTGGACCAAAGATAACCGTAGGCGAAATAAACGAATAACCCTAACAAAGATTAATATAATAAAATATGAATTATTTGATAAAATTGAACTAACTCGAAAGAGACTTTCAGTTGGTGGAGCTAATGCTGGGGAATCTGCTATTGGTAAACGAGTAAATTCATCTGCAAAATTGCTTGTATCCGTTTCATTTTTAAGTTTTGGTTTAATTGGTGCTTGAACACGTTTTTGTGCAATAGCATCCCAATCCATATCAGATCCAAAAAATGGATGACGTTTAATATCTTCTAATCCTTTCGAACCCAAACGACGTTTTGGATTTTTTGTTAAAAGTTTAAGAATAAAATCTTTTGCTATTTTTGATATATGATTTGGTATTAATGGATGATTTTTTACTATTCGTCTAAAACAAAAATAACATTTCATGAAGATTTTTCTTTGTTTTATTATCTTGAAAATTTACTTTGATATTTCTGGTTGAGTATTTCGATCACCATCGACAGTAAATGGTGATGCACCGGTTAAAAGTTCAAATGTAAGAACACCAAGACTCCACCAATCAACAGTCTGTTTTTATATACATATAAACAATATATTTTACTATTATTTTGTATCAAAACTTACAAAATCATGTCCAGCATCTCCACCTTTAACAACTTCCGGCGCCATATACTCAATTGTACCACAAAATGAATATGTTCGCTTATCCTTTATTAATTTTACGATATTGAAATATCAAGAAAAAACAAAGTTAAATCTTACTGCATCATCCGGTCGAAATTCTTTACTTAAACCAAAATCTGCTAGAACAATATGACCTTCATTATCAAGTAATATATTTTCAAGTTTAATATCTCGATAAATAATTCCAAGCTAAAAAACAAAATTTGTATTATTATTTATTTATTTTTTCGTCTTTAAATATTACTTTATGTAATTGGCCAAGAGCCAGTGTTAATTCGGCGATATATATTTTTGCATCTTGTTCACTAAAACGTTGTCGTTTATTAAGATGTGTAAATAATTCTCCACCACTGACATAATCTAAATATGAATAAAATAGTTTGTGTGTGTCTTTTAATTTTTGAAAACAATGAACATACCCATAACAAGATGAAGTTTAGCATCACTTTGAAAAGCATAATGAAGTGATACTAAAAATGGAATCTGACGAATAGCTTCTAAAACTTGTCGTTCAGTTTTAATATGTTCAGCTGTCTTAGCTTTTTGTAAAATAGCTGATTTCTTTAAAACTTTCATTGCATATAAATTTCCTAGATCGGCACCGGTTATTTTACGCACGAGAAAAACTTTACCGTAAGCTAAATATGAATATTTTCGTTTTTCAATTTAAAAAAAAAAATTCAATTTACCTCCCGTGCCAAGTACTTTAAGTAATTCGAAATCACTCATGTCAACTCGGCCAGCATTGGTCATCTCGTAAACTAGAAGATTATTTTTATAAGAAATTAAAGTTCGATATTTATTTATTTTTTTTGGTTTTTTTTTATATAACTTACAGTCAAGTACGAGATCGCTCAATGCCATATCTCGATTGAAATTAATTTCGATAAATAATCATCTGGAATAATTAAAAAAAAGGTTCTATTTTTCTCTCGATAATTGATTCATTCTTTTACATTTTTTTTTCGTCTGTTCAATTTATTTCTTCTTATTAGGATGAGTCACTTAGCTGTCTCAACTCGTATTTTGTCTGATTGGAGAACTATATTAAACATGTATACTAGCGCCGCAGATTAATTCCTCATATTTAAATCAATTAAATATCAAAAACATTCACAGAAGATAGATTTTCAATTAACAAGCATTCAGTTCAATAAAAAAAAACAAATCAATTCTATATAGAAAAATCATTTAACTGATATATATGCACTTTTGCACTTAGAAAACATTTTTTTTTCTAGTATGACAATTGACCAAGATTCACAAATAAAAATGAACGAACAAATATTATTATAGACAACTATATTCCTTTTAATATGAGGAATGAATGAAAGAATATATATGTATAAATGAATATGTTTTCATAAAAATAATGATACGATCTTCTAAAAGTTGTTTTTCTCATAATTTTGTGTGAAAACAAAAAAAAAAAAATGTCATATCTGATAATGCTGAAAGTAGATGGAGAATAATCATACTACACGACATAGTAAAATGTCTAGTAAATGAATGAAGAAAATGTGGATTTGTGCTTGCGTGACTTGCTCAAATGAGAATAATAAATCACATGTCTCGCATCATATGTTATTATTACGATAAAAACATGTATTTAATCTTCTAAAGAAGTGCTTTTTTCAAATAATAAGTAAAATAGTCTATTAATTTAAATGTCATTTTCATTATGAGGAGAAAATGTTACCTGTAGTTTATCATGTTCAATCTTGAGGCGTTAGGTTTAATGTTAAGACGTGAAGTGAAGAGGTATATGAAGAAAAAAAATTGCTAATGAATTTTTCTCTTATGACAAATGTTTAAATATTACACTAAACTGTGAAAAGTATAGAAAAAGTGCATACGTGACGATCATTTAAACATACGTTTTTTTTTTACATTTAGATGGTATAGTTACAGTTGTGATAATCATTTTTCATTGAACGCTAAAATTCTGACCTGCTGTCTACCAATGTACTATAGTCAAACAGCTGATGCATTATCGTCATTGTTAATGTATATAAGACGAGAATATTGTTATTGTTTGTCAACATGTTTACTTTGGCTAAATATCTTAAAAATAGAAATAGCTTATCAATTAGATCGTTATTCGTTTGAATTAGTTATTATAGAAGAAAATATTCAAGTATGTCATTTACAATATGATATAGATTAAGAAACAAAATTATGTTCATGAAATTAGCGTATATATTTGTAAAATTAGGATAAAAATATTCAACATAATCTTTTTATATAGTCGAGAATAATATTTCATTCATTATTGGCAATCGTATCTTTTCTAGACTTCAATGTTTTTAATCATAGTTCATTGATATTAGTCTATTATGCATTAGAAGCAAATAATCCTTAATGTTATAAATGTCATAGATGAGTTAAGAGAACAACTGGAAAATTGAAATAAATCGATCAATAATGTTGCTCGGCCATTGCTTTTTTCTCTTGTAATTTTAAAAATCTTGCATTGATTAATTTCATTGAGATTAATGGAAGTAGTGGATATGGTGGAAAATGTGGAAGATGAAAACAATGAGCGAATAACGTTACATACAAAGACGTGTCCATACTACTTATTTGAATCATTTCTTCAATTGTCCTTCATTTCTTAAGAAAGTCAAATCAATAGTTCCATATGATTACGGCACTTAACAGTTCATCATCAACAATATGATGCACTATGTTGTTAAAATATTGAATGAAGAGAAACTATCTTAAAAGATGAGAGTATTGTGTTCATTATTGGAATTAAATTGAAATATGTAGTTTACTTGCTTGATAGATGACTATCGATGCCATATTTTAAGAAAAATGGGGTAATCTAATTTAATGCCCCTTTCTCCCGCTCGTCAAAAAGTCCAAATTTTCGGGAAAAGCTCGAAGTTGAGTTTTTATCATAGGAAGATGCAGCGAAATTTCCTCCTACAGAATATATATAGCTTTTTAGAAAAAGGCCAAATTTTAAGAGACTTTTGGAACTAATTTTGAACCCTCCCTCACCCATCATGTTTTTTCCAGGAATTTGTCTGTTTTTTTAAAAAACTGTCTTTTATTTGTTTCGGCATTGAATAAATCATTATATTTACTTAAATATGGCCGACAGTGATAGTTTAAATCATTGTTGATGTGCTTTAAAAAAAGTACAATGACACATATTATGAATATACCAATTTAGTATGATTTTTTCTGGATTTCAATGAAAAAATTCATTTTTAAAACTTTTTTAGCGTTTTTCTCAAAAAAACGATTTCCAAGCAGAAAAATTGAAATAACTCTGATTCGGATCAGGATATAGTCGATGTTTTTTTTGTTATAAAGATCTGAATCAGAGCTAACTTTTCATCGAACGGATTTTTTATACTTGATTCCTGGACTAAGAAAAGTGGGATTGACTGTCGTGGAGTCACATTTTTTATGCTTATTTTGAATACCATGTCCAAAAAAATGCTCATAAAAAATGGATGGAAAAGAGTTTCAAAATTCTATCTGATAACAAGTTGCGCACAGACACTAGCTTTAATTCGAAGCCAGTCCGAGCTCTGTATCTCTTATAACAATGAAGTTATGTCGATTCGTCTGCAAGCTATAAAAACAAGCCAGAATTTTGATCTAGTAGGGAATATCAGACTGAGATTTTCATCACAAGCGTTTCTTATTAGAACCATTCATTCCGAAAAATTTCAGTCGGAACGGCCTCTTCTAACTGGTAAATCAATTCTGAGGTGGTAAGAGCCTTTAAACTAGTCTACAAACAAATCAGAGGTCCAAACAGGCCACGAGGTCTGCCGAACTGCCTGCCTGTGACAGGCACAGGCCACTATTTTGAGACCTGCGCCTGTCACAGGCAGGCCAGGCAGGTCGCTTGAAAATGACAGGCCGCCTGGCCTGTCTACTTTTTCTTCGAAGTCGAAGTTTCATCTGAGAATTTCTTGATTTTGTTAGGAAATAGATACAACATTCATTAGTTTTCGAAAAAACACATTTAAGCCCGGTGAATCAGACAAATACTGCGAAATGAGTATTAAAGATACTTATAGGAAATCAATGCCCTTACCATTCTGAAGAGATGATGAGCACAAATTTTCATAATTATCATTATCTACTTGTCATATTTCTCAATTTTAATTAAATTAATTGATTCTAAATCCTTTTTTTTTGTTGCAGATTTACCACTGATTGAATTCTGTTTCTTTCTTGATTCCAATACTTTGAGTGACATTGTGATCTAGCATGAGAACTTCAATGCAAATATTTTTGAACAAAAATCACATATCTTCCACACGTTGACTATCTTAGCATTGTTTTTATTNAATTAAAATGAGCTTTACTTTGGAGATTGTAGAGCTTTTCACGGAGCATCTAGTGATATATTTTGTTTTTTAATACAACGTATTAAGTGATGAAAAATTGAAATGCAAAATGCCGCCGTTTAATCTGTTCCATCTGTTATTTTTTGAGAACCAAAAATGCATGTAACAAACTTTCTTTATTGATGCTCTTGCTTCTTGAGCTAGAACCTTTATTTTTACACAATGAGTGCACTTTGAAATGCTCTTTAAAATGACTATTTATTTGTTGAAATTGATCAAGTAGTTGCAAAGATACATCGATAGGAAAAATGCGGCGAACTTTTTTCCCATACCTTACTTTCTATCCAGAAAAGATCGTCATAGATATACCACATGCGAGTAGATTCATTACATTTCAAAAGAGACAATTGCTTTTACCGTTACTTCAAAACGCATGTTTTTGTGTTAAGAAATGTACTCTTCTATTATATTAACTAATATAAAAGAACACAGATTCAATTTATGTGTTACAAAATAATTTATTTAGATATCGTCACAAATGTAACTAAAGTATATTTATCTTTTTCAAACAACACAAACATTCATTAATATTCATATTAAAGCCATAGGCTATCCAGGCAACATGTTTTTGAGATATCATTATACTTGACTATCAAAAAATAACATGTTGAGTGACAAGTTTTATTTTTCCTCATGTTTAATATTGCCAGATTCATCAATCAACATGGACATGTATGGCATTGAGAGAGATGATGAGATACGAATTTGATGTTACGGGGTAAATCTAATTAATGAATTACAATATATTGCCATGAGAAAAATTCCTCACTCACCTACCACTAATCAACAGTGATCAATCAATATATAAATTCAGAACTAATATATTTTGACTCATATATTACAAAGTGATATTTTAAGAGAAGTTCTTTATTTGGCTATCATTTATTCATCGAAAGATCAGTTGTAATGGAGCAGAATGTCTGGTTGAACTATTAAAAAAACATTCTATTGTGAACACAATTTCTATGATTCACTACGTAGGATATCTTAGCTTATTCTTTGAAGTGTATAGACAGCTACAGTAAAGTTTTCTGACACCTAGTAGTAAACATCATTACAGCTATAAATTGTTACTCATCACATTAAAACCTTTCTAATGTGAACACCATCGAGAGAAATTAAATTTGTTCACTTTGCGAAGGTGCTCATTATTGGTAGGTTTTCAGTTGCATAAAGTGACCCTTTTTGTTTTCGTTCCAACGATTAATGAATTCAATTTTTTTAATCAGAAGTAAATCAACATGTGTTGACATGCTTTGATGTTACTATCTGTTATAGCACAAAACGATGAGATATTACACGAAGCACTGTTACCGTTGTCTAATATTGTCTCTTTTTTTCTTTTAAATATTCACGATTAGTCCATTCTTTTTCTCTCGTGCCTCATGATTGTTTATCATAGTGCAATACATAATACATCATTTCTTTCTAGTTCTATACGTGACTGAGAGAACATATCTTACTCATATTATAGATGTTTTGGGGGAG